TTACACCATTTATCAATTGGGGAAATGGCTTGTATTCTAATAACCAACAAAGTTCTTTATAAGGCATCCCTTCATTTCATTTGCTGGCACAAAAGAGCTGTTATAAATATACATGTATGCATGTATGTGTATGTGTATATATATATGTATACACATATTTTTGTTTATGTATATGAATTTTATATATGTATATGTGCATTTGTGTGTATATGTGTATTCATAACAACTCTTTGTGGTAGCAAGGCAGTCTTCAGCGAACATGGAGGAGGCCTCAGAGGACTGAATCATGGGCAGCTATGGCAGTTTCCAGACTTCTCAACCCACGAACACCAAAGAAAATTTAGAAGATCAGTGGGAAAAATCTGTTTCTGCAGTGAGAGAGAGAAGCTAGGTCCTAGGCCCAGTTCCCAAGGGAAGGAAGCAATCTGGCCTTGCCTGCATGGCCAGGCCAAACTGAGCTCCTCTCTCAGCCAGCATGATATACCTTTCTGATCAAACATCCAGGTTGTCTTGGGATGGAAATTTGTTTCACTCTGTCTTTTTGTGGATTCTACTGCTTTAGAATTTGTTTAGAGTTATTTTTTGTAGGTATTTGGAGGGGTTTGGGGGAAAGTTCAAGCAAGTCACTGCTTTTACTCCACCATCATGGCTCTGCCCCCCTGTAGATGATTATTCTAAAAGTAATAGCAAAAATCATCACAGAAACAATCTGAGTCTCTGCTTTGGGGATGGTCATGTTGACTGAGTTGAATTGGAAAATCCACATCATTGCAGTGGATCTCTGAAACAATAAGTATTAACTAAAAGTTTAAAAAAACAAACTAAAAAATAAACTAAATAAGACAAAAACAACAAAACCTAATTGTTCCTAATATACCCTGTTCTATCCAATATCCAATCCAGTCATTTTATTCAGTCGTGTTCTATTCTTTGTGATTCCATTTAGGGTATTCTTGGCAAACACACTAGAGTTATTTGCCATTTTCTTCTCCAACTCACTTTATAGATTATATAGATATATAATACTCCAACTCAGTATTGCCAAACTGAGGCAAACAGGGTTAAGTAACTGGGGGTCACACAGCTTGGAATTTGAAACTTTCAAGATGAATTTGAACCCAGGAAGATTAATCTTCTTGACTCCAGGCTTGGTACTCTATCCACTGCACCACCTACCTGCTCTGAATCTTCCAAAGCTTTATGGACAAACATGATATGACTCTTTCATTTGCATCCATAATTAGAAACAAAACAGTCATAGTGATTGGATGTCTAGGCATTATTTCCTGCCTGCTAATGTATTTGACCACAACTTCCAAGCTGACAAATGTCAGAGGAGTTGACAAAGTAAGTGAAAAGTCACCTGAGGATCCACAGTGATCCATTTTTCCCAAGCCCATGTGAAGGGTGCACCAGGGACATGTCAATGGTATAGCATTCCCTGATTCTTCCCTTTATACTGGACACAGTATCCCTGGTGAGCCAGGTCTTAAAAGCATAATGGATTTATTTCATTATTTCTCTTTTATGGCAAATAATTGATGCCTCCAATATATTGAGAAGAATGAAATAGATATGTCTGCATTGTTTCACAAACACTTTCCCAAAATAATGTATATTTTAGGACAAAGCCTTTCTGGCACCAGTGATAATTAATTCCTCTGAGAGCTAAGCTCTGGGCATGAAAATAGGTCCTTAAACTTTATAATATGCACTTTAGTTCCATTTCTTATGAAAAGGTTAAAGGAGAGGTGGTATAAACATAGATGGTCATTTAAAGTCATTTCTACCTGTTGTCATAAAGGCATGTATAGAATGAATGAGACCTTCTTAACATCTCAATGTTTTTATTTTGCTTTGTTTTGTATTTATTATTGTTAGATAACATAGTTCTGAATAAGGTTGAGTTTTCCTAGATGCAAGGTGAGGGAGATCCAGGATGCAAAAATCCTGAGAATATTTCCATAAAAAAAAGCCTGACTGACTCTATGGTTGAACCATGGCCACTATCTTCCTGTCCAATGAAAATACCATAATGAAAGTGAGAATTCTCTTCAATACGTGAGAAAGCATGACTATCCATACAGCAGACGAGGGTGTTTCACTACTCATCCCCACAAACTCTATTTGAGCTGATACTCTGATTCATATATATCATAATGATCCCTTATAATGATTTACTTCTTGATTGTTAAATGGATTGAATCTACAGTAAGAGACTTGATTCTTAAGATACACTGGAAAGATAGCTTAATGTATTTTTAAGTGCTTGAATTGCTGTGAGGCAGACAATTTAAATTTGCATCCAGTTTCTTTCATTTCTCTGAACCTTAGTTTGCTCCTCTGCAAAATGAAAAGAATAACATTTGCAATGGCTACCACCTAGGGCCGGGTGATAAGAAAGTTCTTGGAAAACTGTAAACTGTCATATAAAAGTGATTTTACATTTAACAGGAAAGGGAACTGAGGAACAAAGATTGTATAAATAATTCAAGGTAACAGGCAGATGCAGAGATTTCAAGGAATGTCCTCTAACTGTTATGTTAGACTACATTGCCTTTAAAGATTTTTTTTTTAGTTAGGTGATGGTGATGTCTAAACTAAGACCCACCTTTTGAGTCTTTGAAGTGGAACAATTCTATGGATTATAGGTGTTCCTGAGCACATATGACTGTTCATGGCACACAGCAAGTGATTAATAAACTCTTATTGACTGACTTGAGGAGGCCAATGTACTGAGAGACAAAGGCATTCAAGAGAACATAAATATGTTGAAGCCTTCAATTGTAAAGGATAGCTTTGAGCCAGAGAGAAGACCAAGGACCAGAAACTGAACTCCTTCAGAAGTGGAGGACAGTGATTTCAAGACAAAGCTTGGCTGGGGAAGATAAAGATGTAGATACATTAGCCATAGATGATAAAGGTATGGGCAAAAACAAGGCAATACACAACTGAAATATTTCAGAATTAGAGAAATTTCAGAGTACAATCCATACTCTTTCTCCCAAATAATTTTCATTATAATATTCACAATAAAGAGTCATCCAAATATTGTTTGAAAACCCCCACATGAGAACCTGAGAACCTATGTATTCCTGAAATGGGTCATTCTACTTCTCAACTGCTACATTGTGAAGGTTTCCCCTCTACCCCCATGACATCATAACTAAATACGTTCAGTCCAGTGGAATGAACATTGTATTTGAAGTCAGAGGAAATTGGTGGACTGAGTTCAATCCTATCTCAACTATTTCCTACCTCTTTGACCAAAGGAAGTCAATTAAAGTCTCTGCCCTTTGTACTATGTAAAATCAGTGGAATGAAATAAGTAGCCCTCAAGATCCCTTTTAGCAATAAAACTTTCAACACTTGCTCCAAGTTTTGCAATTTGGAGGCATATGTGACAAATTCAAACCCTACTACACACAGCAGCTCTCATATGCTCTCTAAATCATTTCATTTAAAATTTTAGCATGCTATGTTCTTTCAATTGATTGTCATAAAGCATACACTGAATCCCTTCAATCATTCCAGGTTCTCTTTCAATGGAAAATCTACCATTTATCAATATTCTTCCTGCAATATATCATGTGGAATTGAAAACAATATTCCAAATGTAGATTGTTTCTTGAAGAGCCAAGAGGGACAACCTCCTCCTTATTTCTGTAAGCTATGATTCCAGTTTGACACCTTAAAATCAAATTTGCTTGTCATAGCACATTGTGTACTCATAAAGAGCTTAGAGAATGCCAGTTCAGAAGAAAATGATATTTAATCAAACCTTTGTCAATTTGTCACCATGAAGATGATATTTTTAAGGCCAAGTAAACTTTAATTTTTTTCCTATTTTATTATAACTTCTTCAATTTGTCATACTGTTTTAGCCTGTTAAGAATTCATTGAAATCCACCTGTAATCATGGCATTATTTATCCTCCTAGTTTTGTGTCATTTGCAAATAGATTAGGAATATCAAAAATGTCTTTATCCAATAGCATGACAAAAATGTTAAATAATCTAGAACCAAGAAGAAATGACTATGGTTTTTAATGAACAATTAATTCTAAGATAATATGAATTCAGTGTTTACTATTTGTTTCCCAACATTCAAGGAATTGCAAATCTATCTAAATATTATTAGGTAGGCTACATGACTATTCTTTTTTACCAAAAAATAGCAGGAGAGATTTGATGGAATACTCTGCTAAAATGGTTCTTTGAGGTTTAAAAAGACTTGTTGTTCAAGTACTCACTGAGTTAATAAATATAAAAACATCATAAGAACAATTACAGCTAGAAGAGAGCATACAGGGAAGGGATCAATCCACTCCAACAATATTCAAATGAAGAAACTGAGGCAAAGAGAAATTAAGTGACATGGTCAGGGTTACACAACTAAACAGTGTAGAGAATAGAATGATGGACTTGAAATCTGAAATACATGAAATTAAATCCTATTCCAGAAACTTATTAGATGTATTATTCTGGGAAAATAACTTAACCTCTCCTAGTCTCAATTTCCTTATTTTTAAAATGAATAGAATAATAGTATCTGTCCCAAAGGGTTGTTGTGAAAATAAAATGTGATCGCATATGTAAATCACTTCATAAAGTAATTACAAGTATGAAACAACTATGTAGTACATTTCAAGTACTCTATAAATGATAGCTAGTATAATTATTAGTAGTATGTAACTGAGGGGGATTTGAAACTAGGTCTTCTTAACTTCAGAGCCTGTATTCCATGCTCTACACCATATGCCTCTTATCTAAGCCACTTTAAGTGTAATAGCTTACAGATGCAGAGGGTATAAATTGGGTACTGCAAGTTCATCCAGTGACAAGGGCAACTGGGATGTAAATCTAGTCTTCAGGCCATTCTTTTTCCACCAGACCTTTCTAGAGAAGAGTCTAATAAATATAAGACTCCCTTACCGAAAACTTCTAATTTCTTTGCAGACAAAACAACTCTTGTCTAAATCCAACATCCGTATGGAATAAATGGATAATGGAAATAATGTGACTGAATTTATCCTATTGGGGCTGACCGAGAATCCAAAGATGCAGAAAATTATTGCTGTCGTGTTTTTCATTGTGTATGCTATAACTATTGTGGGTAATACACTCATTGTCATCACTATTATCCTCAACCCTAGCCTGGATTCCCCCATGTACTTTTTTCTTGCCTACCTATCCTTTATAGATGCCTGTTATTCCTCTGTTAATGCACCTAAACTCATTATAGACTCACTTTCTGAAAAGAAAACCATTTTCTTCAATGGTTGTATGATGCAAGTCTTTGGAGAACACTTCTTTGGAGGTGCTGAGGTTATCCTGCTCACAGTAATGGCTTATGACCGATATGTAGCAATTTGCAAGCCCCTGCACTACACGACCATCATGAATTGGCGGTTGCGTGCCCTCCTGGTGTGTGTGGTCTGGATAGGAGGCTTACTCCATGCAACAATACAAATGCCTTTCATAATCAAGATACCATTTTGTGGTCCCAATGTCATAGATCACTTTATGTGTGACTTAAATCCTTTGCTGAACCTTGCCTGCACTGACACTCACATCCTTGGTTTATTTGTTGCAGCCAACAGTGGTTTTATCTGCTTCTTAAATTTCCTTCTGTTGATGGTCTCATATACTGTCATCCTGAGTTCTCTGAAGACTCAGAGTGTGGAGGGGAGATGCAAAGCCCTCTCTACCTGTGGTTCACACATTACTGTAGTTGTTTTATTCTTTGTTCCCTGTATTTTTATCTATATGAGGCCTGCAATAACCTTTCCCATCGATAAAGCAGTTGCAGTCTTCTACACAATCATCACCCCCATGTTAAACCCTTTAATCTATACACTGAGAAATGCCCAAATGAAAACTGCCATTAAAAAATTATTCAGTCAAAAGGAGACTTTGGTTAGCACATAAAGGGCCTCTAATAAAATCACCTGACTCAAAATCAGGTATGAGGGAGAGGAAGGAAAAATATGAAAAGAAAGACATTGTTGATCAGTGAAGGAAAAATTCAAGCACATACTAAAAAATGTTCCCTAATATTCACTGAGTCTCTGTTGAGATCTTTTTTCTCCTATTTGAATTCTTCTAATGTTTAAAAAGGACTCCTTATTTTGGGGGAGGTAATATACTTAGCATTTTCAAATCAATTTTAATATAGTCAATGGGTAAATAATAGAGAGAAAATGGAAGAATTCCAGCTGACATGAAAAGACTGCATTAGATCACTTAATTACTGAATATATACATATCTACACAATACAAATAAAGTAAGTATTAGATGTTTTTTGTTTGTTTTTAGAAATTGAAATATTAATATAGGTATAGTTTTCATTAAAAGTATCAGTTACATTTCTCAAATATTTTGTGTGTGCCTACTCTGTATCTGGCATTGTCCACATTCTCCACAAGAACGTAGCACTCAATAAATGCTTGTTGAGTGACTCAGTGCTTGGTGTGGGGGATACATACGCAGCAATAAAATCATTGTTGTTCCCCTTTTTTGGGGGGGAAAACATGAAGGTTTTTTCAGAAGTAAATACAAAAGAGGTATGAAACAAAAACTAAGTAATTTTACAGAACCCTATACATGGGGGAGCATATGGGAAATTAGTGCTCATCTCATGTAAAAGATAGCACTTTTTCTAAGTCTTTAAGTTTGCCAAAATCTTACTAGATGGAAAAAAGAAGAGGTTGTTTACGAGGCACAGGGAGCAGAAATTTCAAAGGAGATAGAATGCTGTATGTGCAGGATAGAAAGAAGACCCATTTAGGAATGCAGAATGTGGGAAGGAGAGCAATATTGAAAATCAAAGGGCCACTATCCACATTTGTGGGTCACATCTCTAATGATCTTTCCCCACAATGTACATATTATTCCTTGCATCTGGTTCAATTGGATTACAAATCCAACCAACTCTATAATCATCTAACCTACATTTATTCATCTTATCCATTACTTTTACAATAACAAAACAAAAGTCTTTGTCAAATTTACTGATAATATCTAGGTAAACCATGTAGTCATCATCATCCTGATCTATCAAGTAATATTGAAGATCTATATCTACATCTATCTAAATCTATATGCTAATCCATATCTTTATAATTTATATACTTTTATATAAGATTAAGACTTATTTGGCATGACTCTTTATATAAAGACTGACTTTTTGTTAACACTATTTATTTTTCTAGTCCTCCATCAATTTTTTAGTTTTCAAAATGTGGTCTCAAGACCCCTGGAGATTATTGCTGAGACATTTTTCAAAGTGTTTTGAAGGTCAATATTATATTGTAATAATACTAAGACATTTCATTTCCTTAACAGGAAATTTCAATCGCTTTAAACCACATAAATGAAAGAGTGTCCATCAACAAGTAGCTGCATACTTGTCATTCATAGTTATATCACCCACCCACACTCCACTCATTTTCTAAAAGGCTCTATGAATTATTGCAGTCTTTCAAAGTTCAAGGACATGGTTAAACAGGTTAATGTGATTAGTAAAAGCATGATAAGATCAAGAGGAATTAGAAACACATATGAAAGAACACAATACTTCTGTCCCAATATCCCTGTCTAGTTGTAGTCCATTTCCAATCTCTTAAGTCTCTATAGCTGAGTCAGCATGGAAATTCAATACATTGTAACACTTCTCCTGTTCTACAAAGGTAGGAACAGAACCCTAATATCAGGTAATCTATGGGCTTTGATTGATTATTTTGTTTGTATCTTCATGAATGGCCTGAATAACTTCCTAATATCATTAACCATTGTAGCAGTTTTCCTTGGAAATCTATGCATCTCTGCAACCAGTCTCTGAAAAAGGGCATTACTCAAATGATACAAAGGTTAATGTCTGCTTAGTGTTTCCCAACTGTCACAAAAATAATGTAACCAAGTCAGAAAGAATGAGCATGGTTTTGTGGGAGTCTTGATCTCCAGCTCTTTTTCCTACTCCTCAAAGTTTCAAGTAGTTATCTACAAGGTTGAGACTCTGAAGAAAGAAGAAAAAAAATATTTCAGACCAGTTTTAATGAGTTATGAGAACATGGATGGTTAAAAGATGAGAAGATATGTTCTTAACTTGGTGTCTTCAACCTTGTTTGGTCAATATTTTGATAAATATATTTCAGCATAATTGGCATCCATCATAATCTGACATTAAATAAACAATTTATGCCTTTAAAACATTATTTTGAGATTGTAGGGGCACACAATTCATTGGTTAGTCTATGTGGGCCATCAAACAAACACAAATACGTATATACATGCTTGCTCACACACAAACACACACAATGATTAAGAAGCTCTGGTATAGGAAAAGGCACAAAGGTCAGACATTAGTAGCAGAAAAGGGATTTTCAGAATATAAAATGATGGAGGAAGAAGAGTGATATAGCAAGTCTGATGTATGTGTACATTATAAAATATCATAGTAGGCCAATGAACTTTGGAAGGAGTGTCTCCACGGGCACATTAAAATGTGCATTAGAGTTTCCAAAAATGAGATCAGTAGTAGAAATAGAGAGCAATTGTGTGAGGTAAAAATTAACTTGAGAAAGGATGTACCTGAAAAGCATTATGTGTGTGTGTGTGTATACACACACATACACACATACATATATACACACACATATTTATATACATACACACATGCATATATGTATATGCATATGTGTATGTATGCATATATTATACATACACACATACATATATGTATTATATGTGTACATATGTATGTATACACACAGAGATACACATACATGTACATATATACATATAATATATGTGTGTATATATGTGTGTATGTGTATGTGTGCCCATGTATATATAAGTATATGTACACATATGCGTGTATATAGATATATAGATAGATATGTATGTGTTTATGTGTATAGGTACATATAGATATTGATATAGATGCATGTATATATACATATATGTGCACATGTATGCACATATATGTATATATATGCACACACAAGTGGCTTAAGAAAGATGAAATGGGGTGAAAGTCAAAGTGGGAGAATTACAGATTAAGGAAGGGTGAGAAAAAGTAGGGCATAGCAGGCATCAAGAAGTCTTATATCTACTCAAGTAGTATAAAAATATAGACAACTTCACTACAGAGCATGGTCCAGGATTCAATGTCTTTTAAAAATAGCTAGGATTTTTCAGGACTATAAGATAAAAGATAGACATGAGGAGATGATAAGAAGGAGTCTTAGATATAGGTGATGTGATATTCAGAAACCATTTTATTTATTTGTCCATTAATTACCCATTATTCATCAATTAATTTATTCATCTATTCATTTATTTTATTTATTCATTCTTTTATTTGTTTGTTTATTGGAGTCTGGTTCTCTTTATCTCTCCAGCCTAGAAGAACCACTCATGAGTTTCAATCTGCTACTGATAAGCATAGGATCCTTGGCCTCCTCCACTTTTGATCTGACCTGACCCTCCTTTGACAGTCTGGCAGTCAGTCCTTTGATTATCTAGCTCATCATATTTGTATTAAATGCATGATTGGCTTATTCCATCACAGCACAGTAATCTAGAATTCAAGAGGTTACCAGCATGGAGTTAGTCCTTCTTATTCATTTAGACATGATTCCTGAATCAGCTAATCACTTCTGAAATCTATTTTCTTGTTTTCAACCTTTTACTTTTGATCAGCAGCCATGATGAAAACACTGTTTTTGTCCTGATGTGTTTCACCATTTTGCCTAAGGTTTAGTAATTTTTTTGCACTTCTTTCAATTCCCCCCACCCCTCGATGATATCATTTATGTTCATGTCAATCACCAAGTTTAGGCAGTTGTCATTGAAGGCGCTGAGTCACACTTGGGATCCATACCACATATCAATAACAAGCCTCTCTATTGCTGTCATCATAAGGCTGAGATATAATTCCCCCAATCATATTTTAGAGACAAATGATATTATTTCTTAATTTTTCCTCCTCTGATGCTTGCAAAATTATTTTGCGCCTGAATGTATCTTCCTCATCATCCCCCAGAGAGATACTAATTACTACTTGTGTGGTTAGAATTCCTTCTTTTATGGAGAGACATGTATCTTTTAGATTTTATTTAGTTTGTTCACTAATTTTTAGTCATTTCTGACTCTTTGTCAGCCCATTTGGGTTTTTCTTGGCAAAGATACAGCATTGGTTTGTCATTTCCTCCTCCAGCTCATTTTACAGATGAGGAAACTGAGGGAAACAGGGTTGAGTGACTTGTTGAGAGTCACAGAGCTAGTGAGTGTCTGAAGCCAGATTTTAACTCAGGAACATGAGTCTTCCAGACTTCGGGATCGGCACTTTACTCATTGCATCGCCTAGTCGCCTCTCCTTAATTACATCGGGTAATTGATTCTTCTTTCCTTGGTGCTATATTATTATTTTTCTCTCCTCCAGTCTCCTGGCATAATTGAGAATTTATCACTGATTTATCATATCATTCTTTAGATTTTTTTAAATTTTTCTGTGTAAGTGCTTTTGTGTCATACTTTTTTAATTAAACAAAATTCTAACTGATAAAATGAAAATAAATGGTTCTACAAGTCTCTATACTCATGCCCTTGAGGAAGAAAAATTTTTCTTTAATAACTACCTCCAAGGAGACAAGTGATGAACTCTGAGTGCAAATTGAAGTATAATTTTCTCACTTTCTTTTTTTGGACAATATGGATAATATGGAAATATTTTTGAATAATTTCACATGAATAATTGCTATCATATTTCTTACATTTGCAGCTGGTAGAAGAGGGTGTAGGAAAGAGGAAGGGAATTAGGAACTTAAATTTTAAAAGGAAAAGAATTTTAACCTAAAATTGTTAAAAAGACAACTTTTTTTTATTGATTGGGAAATGGGTTTAAGTGACTTGCCCAGGGTCACAC